CAATTATCAAATCATACTTAACATGAAAAATTAATTTTAAATTTTAATTGCTACTTATATCAGTTTAGCAAAATCTAATTGGAGACTGTCTTAGTGCTAACAATTATAATAGCATGTTATAAATAGTGATAAAATGTTAACAACATTATCTGATACGTATAACTTGTTAACATATTAAATACTCAAATAATACTTGTATTAACATCCTGTGGTTCTCTTTGAGAACGCTGATATCCGCTTCACGTCCGTCTCGCCTCGAACCGGTTTCTTCTTCGGCAGCTCATCCTCCTCTAATTTTCAAAGGGTGTAACCTTATCATTTGAAAATGATTTCCAAAAATGATTTTGAAAGAAAACAGAGAATTTTTACTGAGTTTAAAGATACATTATCATTTTTAAAAACGTAGCTGGAGCTCAAAATTGTCGTTTTACACTGGAGTGTCTATGCTGCTTCTCAAAATTAGACTAGTATTTTACAAAAATTGGTTGTTACAATAAAGCTCAGGCCAAAGTACTGTCTGCATACTCCATAGCTCTCTGCTTCACGTATTCGACTCTCTCCTCAACATCAGCAGATTTCTCATATTCCAAGTACTTCTTAAACAAAAAACTGAGAATACAAAGCACAAAATGATTAAAATTTGCAGTAATTAAACACTTTATACAGGATTTTCTGGTGAAGTAATAAGGCAAAGGCAAACCTTCATCTTCTTAGGAGGCAAGCTCAAACTAATGGCTCTCTCCAATAAAGATCTCCTGTACGCAAAAAAAAAATCAAACAATAATAAGTTAAAAATGCTACAAAGATGGCAATAAAACAGAAGTTTTGGTTGGGGGAGCGGAATATAACAAACTTGGTCAAGATAAACACTCCACAAGTCTGTTCTTTTCGGGTATTCTCTAAGAACGCCTTCAAACAGTGATCTCCCTCTTTCTGCAAGTCCGCATTTGAACTCAAGAATAGCCGTCTGTGATATGAATTTAATGTGCTTATGGCGCGGAAGACATAGCAAGGCGCGATTCACAACAGACTGAATGCCATCCTCGTTTTGCTTTAGAGAACTTTGCATTTTCCTTAACCAAACCTAAAAAGCACATATCATATACAAAAAAAATGTTAAAAGAGTGAAGAACCTACCTTGGCTTTGAGAGATAAAGATCAAACAGCATGTACCTTGGAGGATTGCTTGAACTTCTTGGCCATCTCATCAAGCAGCTTATCAGCCAATTTATATTGCTCTGTTCTCTCGTACACACCCAAGAGGGCGAGGTAAACTTTCTTCTTGTCACAGTATTGAAGGGCTCTTTCAAACACTTTCTTAACAGCTTCCTGGATATAAGAAACAAACAAGAGAGTTAGATAGCAATATATAAAGACTATTAATGGTAAAATCTAAAAAGCTTTCGCTGGGGTCATCTATCTACCTCTGGAGGACTTCCATGTTCGTTTTCCAAATTGAAGTAAGCAACCCATATGTTTAGCTTCTCTTCTTCTTCACGAACAATTATAGTCTTCAAGGCCCTTCAGTAGAGATTTAGCATTAGACAGGATAAACAAGATGAATATTTATATGTCCCAACAAACAGTTCTACTCTCAACCTGTATCGGTATATATTTCATTTCCTTGAATGATATAGAGTAGTTAGGAAAATGTACCTCTCAGCAATTGACCTGGCTTTCTCAATATCAGCCAAACTGAGCATGAACGCCATATATTTTATCCAGACAAAGCTGTTATTTGGAGAGCTTCTAACCAATTTCTCAAACTCATCAGCATTCTCAGGAGCATGATTCTCCAGCAATCGTCCTTCAGCAGCTTGTATTTTTCTCTCTCTACAAAAGTAGATTTTTCAGCACGGGTTGAAACCAAATACATAGAGCATCATAGCTTTCAAATCAGGAACTTAAGAAATAGCCAACC